TTTCCCCTTTACTCGGTCTCTGTGTCCTCCTCCTCTTCTTTTCAGCCCCAGATGGCAATCAGTCATGTCCTCCGTCACCTCGACATTTTCAATCAGCGGTTCGAGCATCTCTGTGGAGATGGAATAGAATTTGCCCAACACGCCGGAAAGAGTGATGCATTGACTCATTAATGATATGACATGCTGTAATGTCAAAAGGCACTGAGCAGATTTCACTTTCACTTGAGATAAAGAGCAAAACAGCTGTTGTAATTGCTCTACCTTTGAAAATTATTTCCTGACCGATGCGTGTCTGTATGCGCAGCACGGTGTTCCTCTAAAATCCCCTCTGTTGGTTGATTGTGATTGGGTAATAATACAGACAGATGGGGCCGCTGGGAGTTTTTGGTGGTATATTTAAGCATTCGGCGCTGCAGATGTGTTTGGCTGTGCACTGGGCGTAATTGACTATTGTGCTTGTGAGCTTTAGGACGGGCTGCGAGATGTACGGCAGGCAGATGGAGTCCGCCGCTGGAATCGAGGAACTGACGGACGAGGAGAAGGAAATTATCAACAGCGTGCTGGCGAGAGCCAAGATGATGGAGGCCATGGAGCAAGAGAGGATTGGGTGAGACGTTGACTTCAAGTCGTGTTTTTGTTCTGCTCCCGAAGGAAATCTCTAAGTCAAGTCTCCTTTATTTCGGTTGCGCTTTATACAGTACAGATTGTTTCAATGCAGATTCATAGTAGGCTTATGATGGAAACACTCATTCCTGTCATCTTGCCTATATGTAATCCTACCATGTTTAGTATCTATTAATTCGCCTTCTGATGATCTAAACGAGCGTGTATATTATATGTTGGTACATAGGCAATATATTAGTGTCCTGAGAATCTTTAGTAATTTCGATTCAAGTTCCATTTGCAAATTACCATGCTTCCACACAAAGGGTCATTAAAAACTCCCCAGTATCTCCAAACTCCCACTTGGGATTCCGGCCTTTCTCATTGGACAAGCCCATCTTGAGAGGTGTGAATCTTCTCAGACCTTAAAGGCCTTACATCAGTGACCCGCCCCTAGTCGGTGGTTTGGTTGAATTCTGAGAAGATGAAGACCCCAGGACACCCTAAGTACGTACCAGGCTTCGGCCTTGACTTTTCCATTCACCAAGACTCTCTGACTCAAACTGGTTCTTTTCCATCAAGATCAACTTGAACCTTCGGACTGCATCAAGCCTCTCTTTCAGACAGACGAGACGTGCAAGTATCAAACTTAGTCTTATTAATTGATACATTAGGTATCGTTTGCACCTTTTTACAAAGGTGTGTTTGAACTAAGAATCTGATGTTCCCTTCAGGCGGTAGATCTGCTGAATATGCAAATGGTTCCATAACTTCATTCCTTATTTCTCTCCTCTTTACTGCTTAAGCTTTAACCCTTTCCTATACCAACTGTATGCGTGTGTGTGTTTATGTAGTATGTTAGACTAGTTTAAGTGTTTATGTAGTTAATAAAGTCTTACTTGTATCACACTTGACGTTGTTCATTGTTTGCTCATAACTGGAGTCCTTAATCATGCAGATTTATGCTACAAGCTCTGTGTAGAGTTGTACAGTATGAAAGTTATTTCCCTTAACCAGGAAATTGACAGACAGTTGACCCTGAGAGGTCAAGTAAATATCTACAGCGGATCTAAATGTTTATAATTAATTATAACTAGTTATGATTAATTATTCATATTTCCCCATGAGCTGATTCGCTACATAATAAACTGAAAAATTAACAGAATCAATAATGCAAACTTCTTCCAATATAAGAAATTCAAATTCTGATGTTGGCTAAAGTAGCTCTAAAAAGACACAGTGTCATTTTTTTTAGTTCAAGTTAGTTGATACAGTTCAGTTCAATAACAGTGTCAATGTTGCATAATCCATCCATTAAGAAACAAATTCAGTTCAGCTAAATAGCAGCTCTACAGAAGACAACATTGTCATTATTCAGCTCAATTTACACCTAGACTCAAAGACACCAGTGAGATTAAAAGATAAATCACCTTCCGGATTAAAAATTTCCTGATAATTTACTCTCCCCCATGTCAGCCAAGATGTTCATGTCTGTCTTTCTTTAGTTGCGAAGAAATTAAGATTGCTTTTTTTTTTTTTTTTTTTTAAGGGAAAACATTCCAAGATTTTTTCCCATATAGTGGACTTCAATGGTGGCCAACGATTTCAAGGTCAAAAATGCAGTTTCAAAGCAGCTTCAAAGGGCTCTAAACAATCCCAGCCAAGGAATAAGGGTCTTATCTAGCGAAACGATCGGCCATTTTCTTACAAAAAAGTATATTTATACACTTTTTAACCACAAATGCTCAGCTAGCATTAGCTCTGCGATGTAAAGTGGTTTTTAAACATCGGTCGGCTTTAGTTTTTTGGCTCTAGTCGGATGCCGTCAGCCATTTTCAGCCAATTCTGCATGTCAAATTGGTGGTGGAGCGTGACGACGAGAAAGAGAACTCCGATTGGCTAGTCAGCTTAGCGAATGAGCGCATGAGAAATACTGAACTGATGAAAGCAAACCAATGACGGAGTAAAATGGGAACGCACAGACATTCCCTGCGTTCCATACAGAAGGGCTCATCCCTATGCCCTAATCCCTTCAAAGGGTTTACCCTCCGGAGTGAGAGCTTTGAAGGGTTGAAGGGTGAAGGGGATCAGACAACTGTTCCTTGAAGTGCCCTTCTGCGTCATCATCATGTGCCCACACGGAGGCGCCGTCATCATGCAAAGGATCATGGGAGTGTCCATCAGTGGTACCCTTCGAAATCCTTCTTTCCGAAGGGCTCTTTGAAGTGGCCAGTTTTGAGCACTTCGGTTTGGAATGACCCTTCAATATGGCGGCCATGACTGTTTTCACTCCAAAGTGCCCTTCGGAGGGCGATATATCCCATTTGGAATGCACCGATTGTTGTCATTCTATCCATTTGTTTCTTTCTTTATCTACAAGATGACGACCAATGCCAGTGACTATTGCCACCTGCTGGAATGGAGAGTTATGCTCTCTCACGTAAGCGCACGGCACACAGGCTAGTTGGCCGTCAGGTACAGTCAGGTGCAGGTGTAGTTGCCCCGACGCGGTGATGTGAAGCATTGCGAGGTGACGCCACAATCGGCTTTCCTCAGCGCTAGTTCCTTGGCGTCAGTTTGGTGTGTCCCTACCCTAATGTCTCAAACTGTGCTCAGATTTCCCAAGATTTCGAAAGACTGAGATCTCGGTGTGAACATTTCTCTTCGGATTCTTCTCAGATCGAAATATCTATCCTCATATTCATTTTGTAGCTTTATACTCCTACCGTGTTAATTATTGACTCATTTGTGCCTATTTTTATTTCTCCCAAGAAATATTAGGAATACAGAGACAACTTAGATTTTTGTTAGGTAAAGTAAATCATAATGGAAAACTCCATTAGGTCTCTTTAGATAGAAAAAGAGCCATGTTTATGCAATGAAATTTTCCTCTGCCAAGTAGGAAAGAAAATTAAGCACAAATTAGACGACTTTATTGTCTCTTTAGTGACTTTCCTCTTTCTTAGCATTTGTTTTACACTATCCATGATTTTTTTAAAACCTCCCTCTCCTTAATAATTGTCTCATTTGTGTCCATTTTTATTCCTTATAAGGCGATTTAAGGGAAACATCTGAGATGAAGTTGATACTTTTGGTAAAGGAAATCATAATAGAGAACTCCACTGAGTCTGTTAATGTCTGTGCAATTAAATATTCCTTAGTCTCCAAGATAAATTGTCCCAAATATCTGTTTTAAAGAGTAATGTGATCAAACAGAGACCGAATGTCTGAAGCCTGAAGCTTCTTGCTTGTTTGGATTTGTTGTCCACATGATTTATTTTTCCCTCCGTAATCCTATTGTATGTCAACAATTGTATCATTTTTGTTCCTCATATGGAATTTTAGAAGAAACACCTGGCAAGTTTATATCATAAGATGGGGTTTGAAAAACAATTCATATTCAGAAATAATACACTGACACAATCAGATGAGAACTAAATTGTATCTGAATTGAGCTGAATAATGACACTAACTTTGCAACGTCTGCAGTTATTGAATTGAATTGATTAAACATTGAACTAAATAGAGTTGAATAATGACCTCTGCAGAGCTGCTTTACAGCTAAAATTGACTTAATTTCATCATTACTGAATTTGATAACATTAATACCGCTAGTTCCCTGTATATTAATGCAAACTCTGCTTTTGAAAATCTGTATTATATAAATAAATGTGACTTGAAACTTGAAGCAAAAATAATGACTTTTCCCGAACACTGTCTTCCACTGGGTGACCAAACAGGTTTTTACACAAATTATCCACAGGGTCACAAGCTTTCACATTATCGCACACAGGACTGGACTCAGTAGCTTTTGTAGCAAAGGCAATATTGACCAACACCTGAGACCCCAAAAGCATCGGTTCAGTCTCCTCTCATTCCGTAGAGCAATTCGGCCCAAGCACATCTGTCCGAGTGATTGAGAAGACGGGTGTGCTTAAGCTTTTTTACAAGCCAAGAGTCAGCCGAGGAATGTACTGCAAGAAATGAATAGTGCTAACTAGACAAGAACTGCCTTCCTTCTCATTCTCGCTCTCTCTTTCTCAGCACTTTGCTTGCAAAACGTCTTAACTCACAGTTCTTTACATCAATACATTACAATAACCACTTGGAGGAGGGGTGGAAGTGTGCTGACGTTATACATTGTCGTTTTTTTGTCCCGCAGGCGTCTGGTAAATCACCTGGACAGCATGAAGCGGACGGCTTGCGGTGACGGCGACTTGCGTTGTTTACTCTGCGGCCAGCAGTTCGGCCTGGCGGGCGTCAGCGCAGTCGTGTGCGCGGAGTGCAAAAAGGTGGACGTGCATTCGCCGAGCCTTTGACCTCATGCAATTATCTAATGCATGCAGAGCACGTCTTTCAATAACGATTGTCCAAAAATAAGCAAGCAGAAATGAATGAGCGATATGCACTTATCTTTATTATGCCCTGCCCATTACTGAGCCACGTGTGCATTTAAGAGGGATGCCAATCAGTCTGCACAATCAAAAATAATGTCACGGAATGCATATGCTTGTCTCTTGTGACGCCCGACACAAAGATCAATAGATTGTTTATTGATCCCGGAGGGGATGTTTAGTCTGTGGGCTGTTTTTCAGCAGTGATGGAACTTAATGCCATCTGAGTGCGTTTACACCTGCGCAGCCTCCTGAGGCCTGTTTGTGTTTCACCCCCACAGAACATGTGCACTAAGTGTGGCGTTCAAAGCGTCAGTCGTTCCAGTCCAATATGGCTGTGCAAAATCTGCAGCGAGCAGAAAGAGGTGAGATGCATTGAGGCATTGAATGTTGTTTTAGAGCAATGGCAAAATTCAGCCAAAACCTAAAATTGTCATAATTTTGCTGTTCTTTCCACACAAAGGGAGGGTTTTTGAGCTCCTCTGTGAGGTCAGTGTGACCATGAATTTCAAGCTCCAAAAAGAACCATAAAAGCATCCGTAAAGTAGTCCATTCGACCTGTGTGCTAAAGTCCAAGTCTTCTGAAGTCAAATGACAGCTTTGTAACAAATCTAAGTCATTTATTTATTTCTGCAGCTTAAATCTCTTAAATTGCCTTTAGACATGTTGTGTCAAGCTTGATGATGTCAATGCGGTATTTTAGATCATTTTGATTTACTATATTATAGTTTTTGTAAAAATTTAAAAATAGATTTTATTTTTATGTTTCCACTTTCAAAGTTAAAGTTTTTGTAATTTTGTTGCGTTTTGTCATTTTTATTAGATTTAATATGTTTAGTATTTCTGAAATTTTTATTATTTGTTTATCATTTTGGCGTGTTTTGCCATTTTCTTTCTTTTTTTTAAATAACGTTTTATTTATTAGTTTAAATTTCTTTAGCTATTTTAGAACTTCAACTTAAGGAAAATGAGAAATGTTTCCTTGGCAATTTGCTGAAATAAAATGAGATTAATTTATTATATACAGTGGTGTGAAAAGGTTTTTACAAATGTATACATTTTGCCATCATTTACTTACCCTTCACTTCCCAAACCTATATTAGTTTTTCTTCTGTTGAATACAAAATAATATTTATAATATATTAAGATATTTTGATTAATGTGGGTAACCAAACGGTAGCCATTGACTTCCATTGTTTGTTTTTTTTCATAATATGGAAGTCAATGGCTACCGTCAAATGTTTGGTAACCAACGTTCTTCTAAATATCTTCTTTTGTGTTCAACACAGGTTTGGAACAACTTGAGGGTGAGTAAATGGTGACAATTTTAATTTTGGGGTGAACTATCTCGTTAACGTTTAATTTTTAAAATAAAAAAATAATTTTAGTGTTTGTTTTATTTAATGATAATAACGCTGGTGTGTCGTACCCAAAAGTGGTCCACTAATTTGAATATACAAAATCAGAAGACTTGGAATAGAGCTCAAGTCCTATGGACTACTGCTTTTTATCACTAGGAACTGTAATTTCATGGAAATAAGTTGCATAAATATAAAAAATGACAGCATGTTGATTTGGAACAACATGAGCGTGAGTAAATAAAGACAGAATATTCCTGTTTAGGTGAATTATTCCTTAAATGTGATAATGAGGTAACTAACTGTATTGTGGATCCCTCATGTTAAAACATTTCAGGTTTATATTCAGTAAACCATGTGCTTTCAAAAAGTGCTTGTTAATGTAAGTCTGCACTTACCTGGCATTGATGATGAGATCATTTGTTTTGGCAGCTGAGCAGTCAATGCTTATGCAGCGATGTGCATGTTGGATTAAAGAAATCCATTTCTACAACATTTTTAAATCAACTCCTAAAAAATGCTCTGCGTATAAATAATATTTAACTGGCTGCACAGAATAATTATTCTGCATGTAGCTCAGAGATATAAATAGACAGGATAGTTCAGCACCTCTAACTTTCAAAGACACTTTGACTGTGATAAGATGATTCATCCTTTTGACGATGTAAGTCACGGTTAGTTTCCTTGTCAGACGGGGTCAGTAGCAGCAGGAGATGTGACTCTCTTTAATGCAACAAGATCATGAAGCCCGAATCCCATTTGAGTCGCTGACATTTTACTTCATAACACCAGGGCAGAACTGAGTTCCTGCATTTTCATATTCCAGCCATTCCAGCTCCCAGCTGATGCTTATGTGGATGGTAATTGGCTGAGATGAGATTCACAGGTGCTGTAAAAGAATAATGTAGAAACTTAGGTAATGCAGCATTGTAGCATAAACAATCCATCCTATTTTTCCTAGTCTATGAATTCTAACTTATGTTGTTACATATATTTGATCTCTTAAGGTTCAATTGGGTTAGAAAATTGCTTAGGTTTTTTTTGTAACTTTAAAGTGTATCAAATTACTTGGAGCTTGGAAAGTGGAACAGCAAAAAGGCTGATTCCTAAATGAAATTTACATTTCCGCCTTTGGCTGTAGTCTGTTTTAGGCCAAAATTAGTTTAGCAGACTCTTACAATTCACTCACACAAGCAAGAGTTTGCTAAACTGAGCACAGATGTGTTATTAGTGGCGAATTAGAGTAAATTTGTGCGCTAAAACTACATCGAAGTTGCCAAATGATCATTTATTCTTTCCCAAAGATGCTGAAGCGGTCTGGTGCCTGGTTTTTCAAAGGTTTACCACAACAGATTTTACCCGCTCCTTTACCGATCTCTAATAATAGAGAGCTCAGAACCACCGGCGTGCCAACTTCAACAAATCCACCAACCAATCAAGAGTCTTCAGTATCTTCACGGCCAAAGAATGGAGGTAAACTCTACAGTTTCAGTATTGCTTTGCATTGGACAAATTCCTAATTACAAATTCTCAGTGCCATGCAGTTTTTTAATGTATTCGCACTAGGCATGGATAATTTATTGTAAGGTTTTCATAATTCATGGTTCAAAGAAACTGCTATATTTCCATGCAGAGAGCATGCAGGTCACCGGCAGAGAGCAGCAGATATCTGGTAAGTGTCCTGCATCTCAATAACACTTAATATCGCTAGGAGGAAATGAGGCTTACGATTGCAGTATCATTTTCCCGTTTTCTCCTGCGCTCAGCAGAAACGATGCCCCCTAAACGGGACGAGCATTCGGTCATATCCCAAAGAGCCCTAGAAGCAGAAAAAGGTAGACAGTCTATGAGCAGGAGCACAATTCAGTCCAACGCCGTTGTGGAAGGACAAACGTACTCACCTGTGGTGAAGAGAGAAGTACCGGTGATGAGCTCCAAACCTCCAGCGTCTATCTTTTCCACGACTCCCATACAAAAAGGTGAGAGAACTCATGTAATATTCACATAGCATAAGCAGTAATGATTCGGGAATGGGAATATTATAAAAGTGTATGTGTCCTTCAATTGCACCGTGGTTCAGGGGTCTTTTTAATAAAATGCACATATGATTGGATTTGATCCTGAATTCCATGGATTTCATTCTGTCAGAACTGAGGAGCAAATCGGTATTTATAAAGGCAATAACTAAAACCACTTTGGTTACAAGTTACAACACATCTGGGGTATTATTGTTAAAAATCTAAAAAAATAATAATAATTGTTACTTGAAATAAATGGAATAGTTCATGCAAAATGAAATGAAAATTCTGTCATTATATTATGAAAAAAAAAACATGGAAATCAATGGCTACCATCAACTGTTGGTTACCAACATTCTTCAAAATATATATTAAATAATACATATTGTGTTCAGCAGAAGATATAAGTTCAGAATAAGTGGAGGGCGAGAAAATTATGACAGCATTGAATCACTAAAATTAATGCAGTATTTATAAAATATGATTTTCTTGGATAAACAAGATAAAAAGGCAAAATTATATAAAATTATACCAAATTAAATATATAGGCCTACATATAAAACACACACACGCAGCTTTGTCTCTTAAAATGTCAAGATAAATGGACAATCACAATATGCAAATGAGCAACTGCTTTCCAATGTGAAATGAATTCATTAGGTGGAGTTGATGTGCTTGTTCACTTTGCGTTTACATTTAAGATGGACAGCGATTTATAAAGGAACTTCTTTTTGTGCACATTTCAGAAAGTGACTTACATTCACATTTAGGATCATTCTGTGGACATCTTTATAATTGGGGCCCCTGGGCTGGTAAACAAAATGTTGTAGGTTAGTACCCACAAGCTTTTGATTCGTCACCATTGTGCCCTTGATCAAGATGCTTAACCTCAGATTGCTCCAGTGGGACTGAACCTATAATAAGCACACTGCAGATTGCTTCGGTTAAAAGCATCAGCTAAATGACTTCTTACAGTTGGTTGATGCATCTGGAATTATCGATCTGGATGCTTAACCCAGTGATTACTGTGTTTCCTTTCTTAATTGTTTTGACTATAACAATGTAGCAACTGCACAGATTTTGTCTCTTGGTACGAATTCCAGATCCTATGAGTCGACCGGAGGCCAGGGCACCACCTGCTATGCAGACCAACGCACGTTTGCCAGCTGCCAACAGCGTTCCCGCTTCACGCCAGCCACCACCCCCCACCGCAGAGGATGAAGAGGACGCCAACAGCTATGACTCTGACGATGCCAGTAAGATGCTAATTTGCACTGACATATGGACATGTTTATACCCCATGGGAACCACACAGAACAAAATGGTTTACCGTGCAAGTCTTGCATCACAGATTGCGTAAAATCAGCAGACGTGCGCTTGAGACGGCGTTGAAGTGAGACTGTTATTCTTTGGTGTCAGCTTTTTTCATGCTTTTCACACGATGTTGTCCACTTTCCAGCCACTCTGGGCATGTTGGAGTTCAGTCTGCTCTACGAGGAGGAGAAAAACGAACTGCACTGCAATATAATCAAAGGAAAGGTATTGTCTTTCTTCCCTAGAACAGGCAGTTTCGATGCAATCTATTTCTGCACTGGAAAAACGTTTCTGAAGGATCATGTAGAACTGCTAACCATGCAATTATTTCATCTTTGGTGAAGGGTCTCAAGCCCATGGACTCCAATGGCTTGGCTGATCCTTATGTGAAATTGCACTTGCTTCCAGGAGCCAGTAAGGTACCAGTGATCTTTAAAAGAAATCCTGCTAATGGTAACAACAGCTGTGCAAGTTGTTGTAGAAATGGTCACAGAACGTAATGAATGCATGATATTTTGTCGATTTCTCAGTCTAACAAGCTAAGGACAAAGACCATTCGTACCACCTTGAACCCTGTGTGGAACGAGACCCTTGTTTATCATGGCATCACTAATGAAGACATGCAGAAAAAGACTCTCAGGTAAAACAAGCTTTACTGTATTTAATGCACTGAAGCTTTCAGAGGTAAATGTGAATGGGCATCATAACGCTAATTGTTTACAATTCTCCTTCCTCAGTCATTTGCATGATGGAATGAGCTGACTGTTGCGTTTTCTTCCATTGCATTTGCAACTTAAAGATTCTTGGAAAGCCTCACTGATGTGTTCGGTTAGAATAGTTTGCAGTGGACTTAATTAAAGCCGTGACATTTCCCAGAGTGGAAAGGGTCAGCATCCGCATTGTTCCCTGGCAGGCTTTCAGTCAGTGATGAGGACAAGTTCGGCCATAATGAGTTTATCGGCGAGACGCGGGTGGTCTTGAAAAAACTGAAGCTGAACCAGAAGAAGACCTTCAATGTGTGTCTTGAGAGAGCGATTCCGGTAAGATGAAGGGGACAGTAAACGGTTTTGTAGAAAGTTTACTGTAATGGGGTCATTCCTACAGTTTAGGGTAAATTCTGGACTGAGCAGGTTTGTTGAAAAAGATGATTAAAATGTAATTTATCTTATAGTGAGAAAATGTAGTTTAACCTAATAATCCTAACCAAATATTTTACATTTGTTATAGGAAATTTGTCGTATTGACAATTTATCAATGCAATGTACGTTTTAATGCTTTAAGCTCAAGAAGCTCATGAGTCTGTTTCTTCACCAATGGATGCTCTGCAGTGAATGGGTGCCGTCAGAATGAGAGTCTAAACAGCTGATTAAAAACATCACAATAATCCACACCGCTCCAGTCTTCAAAACATTGCTTCTGGCTAAACTGAGTCCTCTATCCATAATATCGCTTTCTTAAGAGAAAAAGTTGTCTCGTCTTAATCAGGAGAGAAATATGCCACAGATCAAGCACCATTTACAAGTCTAAAACAGTTCTATAACAAATATGCTGGTGGATTTTACTGTGAGAGGACAACGGGGGATGGACTTTTTCACTGGAGGAAGCATTATTATGGATTATGGACTCATATTTTGGCAAGAAGCGACGATTTGAAGTTAAAACATCGTAATGATGGATTTGATTCATACAAACATTACATTAATTGATAGACTGGAGTGGTGTGGATTATTGTGATGTTTTTATCAGCTGTTTGGATTCTCATTCTGACGGCACCCATTCACTGCAGAGGATCCATTGGTGAGTTACGTCAAAGAGAACAAGTAAATGTATATACTAATATTTAAAATAGCTAATTTACAAATATATGTTACCTTTATTTCAATATGAAGCTGAGAAAACATGGGAATTTGTGGGGTACATGTATGCATTAAAAACCATGTGGCATAAAAGATGATTACCATTTCATGTAAAATATGCAGTGTTGTTTCATGGGGACATAAAATCCACCAAACTGTAGGAATGACCCAATTTGACTTTGCAGTGCAGTAAACTGACTGTGTTTAACACCTGGTACGCAGGTGAGACGTACTGCTGGCGCAGGTGCATCTCGTGGCATGGCGCTCTATGAGGAGGAGGTAATTGCGTCATACATTTTGAGAATTAAATACTTACAACACTGAAGTATTCCCAAGAAAGCATAGTAGCTGGTAGCTGTCGAGTCAGGCATTTAACCTCCGTGTCTCCTTGTTGAACTGCATCTGTACATCTGTGTGCATTACAAGTCACTTTGGTTAAATGGTTCAGCTAATGATTGATCTGTTAATTAGTGTCCACAGGAAGATATATGGGTTTACTCATCTTTTGTGTGGCTTTTTTTCCAGTTGAAGGACGATGAAGAGGCAGAGGAGAGGGGACGTATTCTGATTTCTCTCACCTACAACAGCCAGCAGAGTCGTCTGATTGTGGGTGTAGTTCGATGTGTTCATCTGGCAGCAATGGACTCGAATGGCTATTCTGACCCCTTTGTAAAGATGCAAGTATACAACAATCTAATAAAAAGCACTTCTCAAAGTGTAATTAAAATGTTCTCTGGAAGAAGAATCATTCGCTTGGTGAAATTGCTTTGTGAATGGCTTATTTAACTTGCTGTGTGCTTTTGTGTCTCTGAATTTCCATGCTGTTTTGCAGTTACTTGAAGCCCGACATGGGAAAGAAAGCAAAGAATAAAACTCAGATCAAGAAGAAGACCCTTAACCCTGAGTTTAATGAGGTACTCTGTCTCGCTCTCTCTGGTGATATGACCTGCAGTGAGCGTCTTGACACGCTCGACACTGACGAGACACCATGACAGTGCTTTAATACGCTCTGACACTATAATGAAAGGAAGTTTTTTTGGCATATATCTTATACGCGATAGACGGTGCTGACGGTGATACCGGTGTTAAGCCGCAACACCGGTTACGTCACTTGCCCACCGCGGCACCGACCCCCACCGTTGTTTAGATTTTTTATAGTAATAAAAATCATTTAGTTCAGTAAAAGAACAGACACTACAATTAAAAACTGAACGCGGCTGCTCAATGCAGTTGAACGACAGTTGCATCACAGATCAGATTCCATTTCTTTCATTTCAAGTTTTTTTAAACATTTGTTTCTTATTTAATTGATTCCACATTGTTTGCTGATTTTTACTTTATTTAAACTTTGTCATTTATTTATTTTATTTGACATCAACATGTATGCCGTGCCTCCAAGCTTTCTTATTCGTTTTACTAATAAACGTTCTACATTTCTTATTTATTTGGTTATATACAGTATTATACATGTTTACTTGTTTCCAGTTTTGTACATTTAAACTTTATGTAAGTTATTTGTTATTTTATATTAGGCATAGCCTGCCCTATAGCATGGTGTATTTTTATTTGTTTTGTTAATAAAAATTATATGTTTTATATATACGCTAAAGTGAGTTTGACGTTGTATTTTGTTGTTGCATTCAAGCAATTGACGCCTAACTGCCGCTAATAAGTGAAAGTAATATGTGCACGGTGCTTTTAAGCTATTTGGAAAAGAGGGAAAATTCAAACGAACTAAAAACAAACAATTGCTTTTCTCCGAATTGCCACTATTTGAAATTGAAAGTAAAATGCGCACGCCGCTTTTACAAGCTATTTAAAAACGAAGGAAAGGGAGGAAAAGAGGGAACGCCCCCACCCCCACGGTGATACCAGTATTACCGGTGTTGTCACACGTTGATTAACCGGGGGGAAAATTTCCTCACCATCACAAGCCTTATGAAATAGACCCGTCATCTTTTTTTTGTGATTTCAGGAGTTCAGCTATGAAATCAAGCATGCTGAACTGGCAAAGAAGACTTTGGATGTCTCTGTCTGGGATTATGACATGGGGAAATCTAATGATTTCATAGGTGAGAAATATATATACATGACAAAAAAAGTGTTAATTTAAATGGATAGTTCACACAAAAATGAAAATTTGCTAGAATTTACTCACCCATTCATAAAAATTAAAAACATCACAATAATCCAAAATAATCCACACCACTCACTGCAGCTTTTCACTTAACAAGATGTTAACTGATGGACTGGAGTGCTGTGGATTACTTGTGGATTATTGTGATGTTTTTATCAGCTGTTTGGACTCTCATTCTGACGGCACCCATTCACTGCAGAGCATCCATTGGTGAGCAAGTGATGGAATGCTACATTTCTCCAAATCTGTTCTCATGAAGAAACTAAGGGTGAATACGTTTTCAGCAAATGTTAATTTAAGCTTTTCATGTGTCTTTTCCACACAGGTGGCTGCCAGCTTGGTATCACCGCTAAAGGCGAAAGTCTGAAGCACTGGTATGAATGTCTCAAGAACAAGGACAAGAAGATCGAACGCTGGCATGTTCTGTTGAATCAAAACAACATTGAGGCGGATGACTGAGGTGTTGTTTCTCCAAAGATGACCGTATACGGTTCCATCTTCCAAAAAAGTAATCTCGCTTACAAGCTCGAACTGCTGATAATGTTTTCTTTTCATTCAGAAAAAAAGCCTTTGTCTTTGCCTCTCCTGAAACCCTGTGATGAGCTATAGTGGTCCAACCGAGAAAACCCATTTACTTTGTTTTTTGGTGGGAAAAAAATATTTTTTCACTCAGTAAATGCCTTAAAGAACAAAACCTCATGAATACAGATTCAGTGACGCAAATATATTAGTCATCAAACCCTGCAACCACGTATACTCAAGGACATTGGGAAAATGGACTTTACTCATGTAAAACCAGTTCAATGCACAATACAATACCATTTTGTTTGGCATTAGAAAAATACGCTGCCCTTGCATATGTCTATTATTAATTTATGTTTGTTTCAATCAGTATGTCACAGATGAGAAAGACTGTGTTAAACAAATTGTGACTATAAAGTTTAGAAAAGTATTAGAGTTATATCCAGTAAATGACAGGTTGTTGAAGTTCAATATTGCATCAACTACATATGGAAATGTCCTGTTGTTATGTGCATGGAATTCATGGACGTGTTCCCTAATTATACGTTATTATCATTAAGTTTGAATTTATTTCTGTAACACGTTTACAAGTGTTGTTAATACCCAATAAAGTGTTCTCAGCTATTGCCTCTGAATCAGTGACGTGAACTGCTTATGTATTTTTCTAGAACTGGAACAAAGGTCATCAGGTGAACTCTATACGTCTCTGGTTCGAGGTGTCATGCGAAGGCTGGCTTTTTGGTGTTGTGTCTAATGTTAGTATACTATCTCTTAAGGTCATGTTCTTTAAAATCATTCCCAAAGCTTTGACCTTCGAACAGTGCCGAGGAATTAGTCTCCCCTGGGTCTTTCATCTATTGCCATCATGTTTACTTACATCATTATGTAAGAGATTAACCCAATGTTCCCTACAAGTTGACAAGACACTACTTTGCTTTTTTTTCTGATTAGACCTAAATGTTTGTATTTTCGTTTAGCTATTTCATTTAGAAAAGTATGTTGAAATCGTAGTGGCACCATAATGAATCGCAAAAATATTGACTAATTTCAAACTTAGATTACTGATTTCATTGCCGTGAAGTCAATGGGGTTTTTAATGGGGTATTTGGTTAAATGCCTTAAATAAGATTTGTGGTCTTGAACACAACACACTTTAGATATTTTCATGTTTTATTCCAAGCTTGTGCTAGTCATGAGAAAGGCCGTTGCTAACTAGAGTCTATAAATGCATTAAACATCTACAAGCCAAACAGGTAATATCCAGCTGATATGCCATCACTGAAGCACCGTATAAGGCCATTTCTATGACAGAAAACTACGTTTCCTGTAAGTAGGGTGGTTTACCTGAAAATGTAAACATTGACAGTCTATCACACTATCAGAACATTATTCTGTTTGTTTAAACCTCTTGGTTGGTTGATACGGCAATGTAGGCGTGATATTTGCAAAACTTTGCCAATAGTTTATAAATGTTGATAAAAAAGTATTGACGCCGTTTCCATTAACCAATGTTATGCAACTAAAACGTAACCTTTTGCCTCTCGCGATAAGTCATGGCAATGGATTTTGGCTATATTTATTACAAGGAGCCATATGCGTGTATCTTTACAGAAGCAGCACAGAGAGCCGCTTCAGAAACGTGCGTGGCGCAGCTGGAATAATCACAAGCATTGCTAGTGGCTGCAATCAGCTTCAGTGGCCGTATCAAAGCCACACTGCACCGCAGATGTGTGCAGTGTAAATTATCTAAGCATTAACATTAGGGAAAGCCCCTTAAACTGGAGAGCCGCCACGTATGAAGTGTTTCTTGGAGGTTATAGTACATTGAAGAATGAACAATTGACTTTTTACATACGCCATGTGACCTATAAATGCGAAAAAACACGTTTCCATTGCAGTTTTGCGAATTATTCCTTTTTCGCATTGCCTTTAAAACCACCTCATGCAAGCGTAAAAACGTTTTTGCGATATATGGTGCGTTTCTGTGAAATTGATGCGTTTCCATTAGGCATATTTTCAATTTTCAATTTCAATTTGCGCAATTTGAAGGGTAATGGATACGCGCCTAGTGACTCAACCAGTGGTGTAAGTTTGGGGGCGGAGCTATCTGTTTGTCTGGCCAGTGGCAGTGTTTGGGAAACCTGTTGGAAAACATAATTTTTTCAATTCTTGTTGAGGGCACCAATGGTGCAGAAATAACACACATCACTTTCAATAACGTAAAAATACCCTCACTCAACATATTATGCTAACTCGTTTCTCATTTTCAGAATGAGTCTATTTTGTGTCTTTCTAAAGGCTGTTTTGAATGAATATCCCATTACCCTGCACCAAAGAAAGAAAAAAGCACATTCAAAAATTCCAGCTCACTGGGGTTTTGACTGTAATGGCGTAATTGCAATTATTCCAAATTGAGCTAACAGCCAGTGTAAGTATTCCTCTGAGAGCATTCTACCTTTTAGTAAAGTAATTGCTGAAAGAAAACGTTTTTAACTTCTCATTTGATAGCGATCTTGTAATTTTCTTCAGTTTCCTCGAGCTTGTGTTTTTCCTCATTTGACGGATGCTGGAAGTACATTTACCGGTGGAAGTACCAGCAATAAAAGTGCTGTAATGGTTAACGAATTAGGGCCGCATCCAATGGTGACAGGGCAGAAACTTTGAGCGAATCAGGCGAGCTCTGCACCAATCAGCGCGGGCGGACACGTACAACAAACTCGTGTGACCTTTGCATCCTCATGTAAACACTCGCCAAGTCCCAGATAAAAATTGGCATATAATTTGGCCAGTTGGCTGGTAACTTTGTTAGGAACTGAAAGACAATACAGGATTTAAAATGCAATATTAATCTGAAACTCACTGACATGAGCAATTCAAATTGACACACAGACCATCTACTGAAGAGAAACTTTTGTGCTTTATCAAAGTGGAAAATGTGATATCAAATTTATACAGCATGGCTGAAGTAATTATTATATATTTTTTTTAACTTGATGTTCTAACGTGTGAAATATTCTGGACATTAAGTCAGCAGAATGAAAAAAAATAAGGGACCAACATTTTTTTTTTCTTTACGGTTTTGTGACAGCTGCAGTTTCACCGAGAGAAAGGAATTGCCTGTAAGGAATATGTTAGTTATTAATATGCAATAAAAAAATCCAACTAATTAATTATTTTAGATTTTATTTAAATGCAAAATATGGTTTGTGGCTAGTAATAAATATTTAAGACTGCTAAAAAAAAATTCAGTTTATGTGCAGACAGCATGCTAAATAAACAAGCACTTAATGATTTTAATAAAACTTTAATATAGTAATGCACAGAATGCAAATGCTGACCTAATTTAACCTGAACACATAAATGCAATGGTTTTGGATCGTATGTTTCTTTCTCCTCCCATGTGGAGTTTGAATCTTTTTGTCACGTTGTAAAAAATCATGAGTAATGAGATATTGAATGTTTACTGCTGAGGGCATTGTTGACACTAATAAAAAATGATAGTGATCAGCCAGAGATAATTATACTCATGTGAACCCAGGAAACGGGGAGGGTTTATGATCTGATTTACATCTTTTATGTACATGTGTGTGCAAACATCTGTGCTTCCAAGCCTGTATTTACCAAAGATACACCCCCTTGTGTCATCCCACCCCGTCTGCTCTGATGTGGCCATGAGCCACGATGCAAGGAAGATCCCACATACGGAGTATAAATAAGGCGGGATTGAGGCACGATCTTTGCCAGAGATGAGGGGTTAAAAACCCAGTTACCCTGCAGCACCTCTGGCTATTCATTCATTCATTCATTCATTCTAAAAACACACAAAATTGCTGTACAATTATTAATTTAGCCATAAAAATGCTAAGCAAACACCTTTTACAGGCTGTTCTGTACCTTTTCATGCTGTTTCATGCTTGTTTCAGTGCTGACACGTTCTGCATTTGGACTAGATCCGCTTCAGATGGGCAAACACAGTATGCATTTCTCCGAAGGACTCAGACGTCTCTTCGCTTGTATGACAGCATCTGGAACAAAAACAACAGCCTTTTTAGCTGCATAACAAGTGATGAGCAATCTGTGATTGAGAGTTACCTGTCGAGGTGCTGGGAAGACAGTTCTTTCTCAAAGACCCTTGATGAACGCTTTGACATCAGGGAGCTGATTGAACCTCACGGCCCCTGTGAGGCTGCAGGCATTACGGAGGAATTTACAGCATCTGTACGGAGGGCCAGGGACCCGAGGAGCGTTGAGCCTGATGGATTTGAGCGCCAGGACAGTGGAGAAAGTTCCAGACAGACGCTGCACCGCTCAAAGCGAGCATGGATGATTCCAGGGACTCTGTGGTGTGGCTCAGGAAATAAGGCTATGGACTTTGTTGACTTGGGTAAGTAAGATTATATCAATCAATCAATCTATCAACATTTTAATTTTATTATTTCTAATTGCAAATATTTCGAATTTTATATATATATATATATATATGTGTGTGTGTGTGTGTGTGTAAAATGTACTAATGATTTTAATTGCTATGTTAATTCAAATAATTTATCATTTTTAATGTTTAAATAATATATATATATAATATTAATTTAATTCGAATAATTTATCATTTTGAATTACATTTTAATATTTAAATAATTTAATAATTATATATATTATATATAATTATAAATAATATAATATTTTAAAATATAAAATATATATATCTTTTTCTAAAATTCATATAATATTTTAAAATATAAAATATATATATCTTTTTTTTTTTCTTCTAAAATTCTCATAATTTAATTTGTACTGTTTTCTTTTAAATTAGATTCAATATAAATAGAAGCATTTTCACAAGTGGCCCCAAACTTTTGAACCCCAATGTATATTAAACAAAAATTTAATTTAAGGTAAAAATATTTACATTAAGGTAAGTTGTAAATTAAACGGGTTAATTTAATTGAATTTGAGAAAAAAAAAGGAAAAAATCCTTACCTGTTCACTTGTCTTCTGCAGGTGTCTTTGAAGATACGGATAAATGCTGCAGAGAACACGACCACTGTAAAGATACCATCGCCTCTTTTTCATACGACCACGGTGTCTTCAACACGAACATCTTCACTTTATCACACTGTGACTGTGACAACAGGTATGTCCTGCTTTATTCATTAGAGTGGGAAATGTTGAGACTACCAGCACTGAACATTCATTCCATAGTGTTGAGTTGAGTAACATGAGACATGTCCAACATAACCAGAGAGTTATTTCACTGAGCGAGCGTCTCGGATTACTGTATCTTATGACATTGTAATCAGGTCTTGTGATATCAATTCAGGTTCCGCCGCTGTCTCCTGGGTGTTAATAATACCATGTCCAACCTTGTGGGCTACAGATACTTCAACGTGCTAAAGATGCGCTGCTTTGAGTTCTCTCAGCGGATGCAGTGCGCCAAGAGAACGTGGTGGGGCATGTATGTATTCGGTTTCATTTGACTCAGCACTTTTCTGTTGCGAAACATTCTCACTTTTCATAAAATAAAAGCAATGATGAAGGTAAAACAAGACTTTTAACACTCAAAATTATTTGAACCAAAAACCTGGCATGTTAGAGTGATTTCTACACTACTGTTCAAAAGTTCTACACTACTGTTCTTGAAAAAAATGATCTTATGCTCACCAAGGCTGCATTTATTTGATCAAAAATGCAGGAAAATTGTTAAATATTATTACAATTTAAAAATAACTCTTTTCTATTTGAATACATATTAAAATAGAATTTACTACTCCAGTCTTCAGTGTTACATGATCTTCAGAAATCATTCTAATATGCTGATTTGCTGCTCAAGAAACATTTCTGATTATTATCAATGTAGAAAAGAGTTGTGCTGCTTCATATTTTTGTGGAAACAGTGATGCACTGTATTTTATTCCAGGATTTACTGATGAATAGAAAATCCAAAAGAACAGTATTTATTCAAAATGTAATCTTTTGTAACATTATAAATGATTTCACTGTCAATTTTGATCACTGTAATGCATCCTTGCTGAATAAAAGTATTCATTTCTTTGAAAAAAATGGTTGGATATGTGCAGACACCTCAAATAATAATAATAATTAAAAAAAAAGCAAAACAATATATAATTTTATTTTATACAATTGAATTTTAGGTTAAAATTTAAAAGGTTTAAAATCTTTCAATGTCAGACACAAAACAAGCAAAAACCTTTGGAAATGAAAAAGAGACTTTTGAACCGTGAAATCACACTAAACATGTATGACAAATCTCTGAGCACATAATGTTGTGCACACAGTCACAGAACCTTGTTTTTCTCATTGGCAGGTGTGCGATTTATGAACTTGCTCAATACGCTGTGGTGAAAGATGCAGCAAACTACACCGACACACTCCCTGAACAAGACATGGAGACGCTGGAAACGAGTTTTCACCAAGCGATCACTCTGGGACAAAACCAGGTCACCAAAAACACAGAAGAATCACTTACTATACAAGATTCCAGGAGCAACAGTGAAGAACCGAGTCCAGTTTCGACATCCCCAGAGCCATCTGTTACAACACTGCAGTCCCGGAAATCTGAAGCTTCCGTTCTTCCAACAGACGCACCAAAGATAACAGACAGACCACAAAAAGGTGAGCTAAATATTACTCATATCAGATCTGTTGTAAATTGACCAAATTGGGAATCTTGTAAAAGCTTCATTCTTTTTTTTTGATTTCATAGGCAAGTTTGAGATGTGTGAGCTCTACAGAGACCTGGATTCATGCCATCTACAGATCCCTGCTTTACAGGAGAAATTCGGTCTACGAAACCCTGGCATGAGAACCCTTTACCACTGTAACTGTACTGCCAGGTGAATATACATTCAATACAGTATATCCACCCAGATTCCAATGATACCAACACCATCTCTCTACAAGGGATGCGCAAACATTTCACTCAAAAATTAAAATTCACTTAACATTTGCTCACCTTCGGGCCATCCAAGATGAAGATGAGTTTGTTTTTTCATCAGATTTGAAGAAATGTACCATTTCATCACTTGCTCACCAATGGATGCTCTGCAGTGAATGGGT